TTTGGCATTTAATTCCGTCTTTGGCAGCAGCCGATTGGGTAAAAGGACTCGTGCACCTTAAAAGTCACTGATCACTCACGCCTAGCTAGGACGCTACACTCTCCTTTCCCCCCTCTATTGCCCAAGCCCCCGGATCCCCTCCCTAATTTATTTACTCTGACTTCCCCCCTCCCTCCCTTTTTTCATGGCATCTAAAGCCCTTAAACAGAGTCAAAATCGCCGTAGCTTTTTCTCTCTTTTATTTAAAGCTTATGTTGTCTCTGTACTGTCCCCCTAAAAGATTGCAGGAAACATTTCTCCTGAAGCTACTGCCCCGACCTCTCGTAATGTTTGTAGTGTAACACCGAAGGCTCTCCCAGCCCCTTGAAGTTCGCACAAATGAAATTCCACGGGTCAGAAGTTATTTCGCCTGCGTGTTCGAAGTCCTAGTGCGATGGAAAACGTCCAGGAGCAGACTAGAACGCTTGTCTGCCTATAGCTCCAATGTGCGTGCACCAGTTTAAACGAAAATGGAAAATGGAAAAGCTAACTTTTGGCGAGGTTCTAGTGGTTACTTTCGTTTGAAAACTGGCCTACTTCCATTTAGTTTAGAGCCTGAGAACTTTTTCCATATTGTGAGTGACAACCGTTCCTAAGTCATGATTCAAACACAGGCACGCAGAAAGGCAAAATTCAATTCAAACCTTTATTTTGCAAACACAGGATTATTCAGATAAACAAACGGCTGGTATTTTCCAGCCGCATGAAAGATAGCAAATGAAACACCACACTCAAAAAGCAAACCAACGCGTCACACAGATTATATGTAAAACTGCTAACTAATAACTTTGAATCTCAGAACAAAACGGCTGGCGAAAAATCTTAGAGCTCTAAATAGTTAGAAAATGAGATATGTGCGTATATCCGTCAAAGTCCAAGCGTGGACGACCACTTTAAAAAACTGCAAACAAATTTTCTTAGGAAACGGTAACAAGGCAACAAAATAAGGGTATGAAACCTAACAGCGGCGTGTTTTCTATTAAAAAGGAGTCAGTTTTATAGAACACGACAAATTCAGTCACCGTTGCTGTTTCAACTGCCTGATTGTCAAATACCACTACCTGAAAATGTCTCTAAACACGCTTTTGGGACTATTCTTGTGATTCCTATTCCGTTTTAGAAATAAGTGAGGCTATCACCCTTCAATATAACACCTAAACACAAATGGGCCGGTATGTCCCATTACCCTCCTATTCAGTTTTCCAAAGCATACGTGACTAAGTATAAAAAGTAAACACCTTGAAAAGTGAACGCCTCTCTCTCTTTTTGTTACTATTTCAAGCCCGTTTTTTACCATCCACGTTTCTCTGTTTACGATCCGCGCAAAAATTATTAAATGAATGAATAAATAAACGGCATAAATACGTGGCAATTCCACAAAGGGGCTATTCGTCCACTGAAAACAGATCGAATTGTTGATTTTCAATGTAAACTAATGCTGATCTTATGTTATATGAGTTATGTCATGTTACGTCACGCCTCGTTATGTCAACACACACGCCTAATCCCAACATATTAATCAACAACGAAAAAAAATAAACGAACAAACAAACAAAACAAAAAATAAAACACTCTCCGTTAAAACAATTTGTCGCCAATTAATTAAAAGGGAATTAGAAAGAGTTTATACTAGTGACATGCACATAAGTTTAAAGGTGTTACGAGTTGTTCAAGTATTATTGCTCGCAATTCGTACATGAAAAATTAACCTGTCAGTAATTATAAGAATCTTGAAGTTCAGGCTGTAACGAGATTTGTCAAGATAAAGAAAATAAACCCCATTTTCCTGAACGAAGCTCTGGCCCACTTGATATAAAAAGGATCCTGGAGGGTAGTGCCAGGGCGCCTCTTGCTCTGACAAAGAAAAACTGACATTAGGCTTTTTCAAAAGTATGCGTTTCGTGACTCGGCCACCTTGTGCAAGATAAACGAATGGTTGGCTTGAAGACTGATTTGACCGCTGACCTCTTGCCATTTGACGTTGTACGCAGCCTCATTGACCTAAGGACGCAAAGAAAGTTATAAACAGTTTATAAGTAAGTTTGGTTGATGAATGTTGGATTATATATCTCATTGCTTTACCACCTTCCTGTTTTTGGTTGAATGGTCAAAGAATCACTGCGACAAAATTACTCAGCAATGGTAAAACACTCAACAACAGGATTTCCCTTCAGTGTTCGTGTTTTATATTTTGATGAACTCGAGATGTATAAGACCGTTAAAATTAACACAACTCAAGCGGTAAACATTACGGTTCGTCCCCACACTCTACGCCCCCAACCTCCACCCGCCTTCGTGGTGGCAGTTTTTGGGATGGTCAGCCTCCAACCAGTTGGGATTCTTATTAGTTTATGTTATATTTGAAATATTTGTTTATTTATTTACAGTGTTCCCAATTAGCACATTTAAAAGTGCTAAATACATTTGACACTTAAATAAAGTTATGTATCTAGAGGTAAATGTTTCGGACTCAGTCCGTGACTGTAGGTCTCAAGTCCGAATACATAGACAGACATTTACGTGGAGAAATTATCCTAGATGGCTTGAAATAAAGTGCGCTTTGGACTCAGAATTAGCTAGACCTTTAACACTCGCTTTTGTAGCAATTCTTTTCATCCACGTATAATAATCCCACGCTCCTTATGACCTCTAATGATGCCTTTGGACTTCGGCAATGCCTCGCTTTCTCTACACGTTAAAAATATTTGCGAGCCTTCATCGAAATCTGTAGCAAGACAGAGAGTGATATCAGAACCCACCTCAAACTCGAAATCACCGAGGGTTTCTCCCGTCTCATCATGGAAATGCCACATCACTGTCTCCACCCAGGCATCGTCTGTGTTTCTTTGATCATCCACATAGCCCTTGTAAATCTAGAAGCCGGATTGTACACAGGAAACTTAAAAAGAGCCCATGTATTTCTACAGGGCACGAGACAATCTGTGAAAACATGTCAGGAGCAAAAGCAGCTGTTTACAGCAGACAATTTACATATGGTGTCGTCCTTACAAAATAAAGCTAAAATGCTTGCGAAATTACAAAAAAAAACGAGAGATAAATTTTCACGAACTTCAGATTCGAATGTATGATAACTGATGCAAGCCTAGAATGGCTTACCACGTGATGAAATATAACTTTATAAGAAGCATGATACCCATAATACACCGCTCAACAGTTGTACCCAGTCCCTCCTCGTCCTGTTTCGCAGATATACCAATTTCTCTCTGATAGGCCATTTTGCTAATGCAAATTAGCAAGTTCCATTCCCTTGTGGGGGCAAGAAGTGATTACTCGGCCAAAAATGGCCTCATTAATTCATTAAATAGATCAAATTTTGCCCCCACAAGGGACTGGAGCTAGCGTTAGCAACAAGAACTAGCTTTATTTGCATGACCATAAATACATACAGTGTTGCAAAAGCTTTTGTAAACTAAAACTAAAACTAAATTAGCAAAATGGTGTATTCAGAATGTTCATTATTCAAAAATCTCAACTGAAAAAGGAACAAAACTGCGGTTAGAGACAGCCAGTTGAAAATAAGCGTATGATTAATATGAAATAGAAATCGAAAAAAATAGCTTATGTTCAACATCAAAACAGGTGGTTTTGACTCAGATGGAGTGCTGGAGAGTATAATCGATGTAACTTAAAAGGAAAAGTCGCATAAGAACCGCGGGTATCCCACGCCACCGACGCGTAATCTGGTTTCTGTGTTATACAGCATTTGGCGGTATAAGAGAACTCTAGCATCTCTTTTACGGCGAATGGCAGAAATAACCAACTAAGAGTTCCAATGTTATACAGCAGTGTGCCTCTACAGCTAAATTTCTTAAAAAACACTGGATCATTAGATCAATGCAATTTCAGACCGATTTGATTGGCTCAACGAGATATCAGCCATTACACCATCCCCGACACATAGCCGCCATTGCAAAATATTTCTTGCCGTTTACTCGAAACAGTTTACTTAACTTTCGCATGTGTGATAAGAGATAGCTTCAGCTAACTCGGTGCTACATCTCATATCTAACGTGCGCTCGTGGATTAATTGTATCATACGCTGGCCTTGCTATAATTAAATTACAACAAACCTCCACTGCATTTTTAACTATTTTATGAACACGTTCTGTCAAGGTGTTCTCATCCTCGGTGAAGGAGGACTTGAAGACTGGACGAACACTTTTAATAAATGATCTTCTCAATGTTTCCGCGGTATCGTCAACTTCCACGAAACCCTGAAAGAGAAAGTCACGTGTATCTGTTAAGTACCGCAGCTTAGAACTGCGTTAGGAAGTGCTAAAAGGTGGTTCAAAAACGGCTGCTTATCGCACAAATGATCTAAAGAGCTCTATAACCAGCATTGCAGTAAACAACCATGCAACGAGTTTCAAATAAAAACTCGGTTAATAAGTAAGAAAGAGAATACAAAGGAAATCACTATCATAAAATTGGGTGAACTTTTCCTTTGAATTTCTTCAATAATTATTAATGTTTAAGAAGCTGTATCAGCACTCGAAAGTTGTTTCGTCAGATATCCAAACACCTTGCAGCCACTTGTTAAAAAAAAAGTCGGCTGCGCGAGCGTCGTTGTAGGAAACCACTTCTCAATGTTTCCGGATATATGATGAAACACTCTTAGTCGCGTTCGACATGTTATTAGTTCTTATTTGCTAACAATATGGAAAAGTAAAGATAGGAAGATTTGCTATTATCAGGTCATACCCCAGGAATTGCCCACTCCAAGCCGTCGAAGCTTTTCATAGGAGGGAGTTCTAGTACGGCGTTTCTGCCTTCCATCTGTGCAGCTGCCTTTCCAGCTTGACCGACCTTCCATCTGTGAAAAAATGAATGAATGAACGAACGAATGAATGTACAAACGTATGAACGAGCAGTTAGCTCAGTTGGTAGGGCAACGGACTACCGTGCAGCACCGGCTGGACCAACACTCAGGGTCTTTAAATAAATAAGGAGAAAGTGCTGCCTTGGTAATGACATCTGCAAACGGTTAGACTTGCTAGTCTTCTCGGATAAGGACGATAAACCGTAGGTTTCGTCTCACAACACTTAGTAGAATTCTACTAGTATACTAATGCAAATGCTGTAATCTGATTGGCTGAACCATTGAACACTATCAGCCATTAGTGTGCAGTGGCTGGATGTCGTCTAGGAAATGGCGACGTTTTTATCGTTTTTCCAAAGTTTTGGAGGAAAATTTTGATGCAAATGGATAATTAAAGTTCTGAGAAGTCTAAACGAAGGACACTTACAGTTTCTCAGTTGACTTTTAAAAGAGTTGAAATTATTGAAAACACCGATGCGCGCGTGCACACAACTTCAATTTTCAATGGCAATTCAATGCGAGCGATCTCTGTCAGGAGCAAAGTTTAATAAGACGTCAAGAAATCATTGGAAACCGTTATTTGAAGTAAATTTTAGTAAGAATTCTACTAAAGCCTAGAGAATTCAATATAATAAACTAGAAGAAATGCTCTCAGACTTACCCAATCGCCCACTGCAGGCTCTTAGCAGGACTTTTTACGGCCACAAATTCCAAAACATTTTTTCCCTTCCTTTGTGCGTGGTTTCCTTCCTCGATCTTCCATCTAAATAAAAACAAAAAATACGATTTGGCCCAGAAACAACTAATTAAGCACATCTAGAGATCATTAAATTTAAACGGAGGTGATTTTCGGCTTAAATTGTTGTACAGGGTGCGACTGTGGTGTTTACAGAACTGTACAGGACTTGGCATGAAAACGGAATAATTGATGCTGGTGCAATCTTTATCGGCGCTTATGCCATTTTAATTTTCGCCGAGCCTATTAATTGCTTCATGTAGGAGGAAATATTGAGTAGAAAAATGGGTGAAAGCACAATAGAACTACCATAAAAGAAATTAGATCTTCTTCAGTTCGAATAGCTATGTTTCTTGACATTCTAACCTTGTAACAATAAGATGAGCAGTGTGATTCGGTCCCCACTGTCCAAGTAAGCCTCGCCCTGCGATTCCAGTTCTTCCCACGGGATTTCTGAAATTAAAAAGGTTACCATTGTTGTTTAAGTTTCTAATATTTTGTCAAGTTTGAGCGATTTTAGCTTGACCTTGAATGGATGACGCGCGAGCGGAACCGTAGCAAGAAACGTATTGGTAAATGGCAATTTGATTGGTTCAGCAAATAGACTCAAACCATCCAAATAGACTCAAACCATCCCAATATCTCACGAGTGAGCGAAGCTCACTCGTGAGATATTGTTCTTGCCACTCGAACATAAAATTCATATCTTCGAGCCAACGTGTAATGTTCCTTTT